GTACAGGGTTTCCGAGGGTGTAAATCCTTACGGGAGTAGAAAGCCTCATCTTTCTCCCGTGGAGCAGCTGGTAGTTTCGAACTGCTGACCTTAAGGTTTGCAGCCCGATTTGTAACCACTACGCTACCAGAGCTCCTTAAGAGACAAAAAAATGTTTAATGCTACAGTTTAATGTAATTGGCAGCTATAACATAGCTTGGGCCTTTCCTTCATGTTCCTGCAATTTCATGAGTTGTAATCTCCCTCTCTCCATCTTCTAGGGATCCAGATTAGATGATCAAAGATGTGCTCCACCACCTGCTGCCACAAAGGGACCAACAGTACCAGATGAGGACTTCTTTAGCCTTATTTTACGGTCTCAGGCAAAAAGAATGGATGAACAGAGAGTTCTTTTACAAAGAGATCAAAACAGAGACACTGAATTTGGGCAAAAGGACATTTTGCAAAGCAGTGCCTTGTTGGGATTGAAAACTTCAGAACAAAAATCAGCAAACCACTAGTTATTATGTTCCTTTCAGAACATTGCAGGGAAATTTAATCTATTACTTTTTTTCCTTGAAAGGAGAATTTATAGCACTGTAACATCTTACAATGTTTTTAAGATGATGTAAATATATTAGCCTTTAATAGTATATATAGTATTAGTGAGTTACCATTCCTCTGGACACTCTCGGCTTCCAGGATGAAGTGTCTTGTAAGGTGCTGCATCAACTTTTGTAAGTACTGCTTGGGACCATGTCCCTTGGTAACTAAACTCATTAGATTCCTTTACCTAGGATTTGTAAACTAGAGAATTTAAATGAATCCTAGATTAGAATTTAATCTTCTTGTTGGGACATTTCTTAAAAATTTTAATTGACAATGGCATTTTTTTTTTTTTTTACTTAACCACAGATGTAGTAGGAAATTAATGCTGTTTAGTAAAAATAGGTACTTGACCAGTGTAAGAAACTTACATAAAAATCTATCTATTTTCACTATATTTTAGGACAAGCTATAAAAAAAGAAACTCTTAGAATGCTTTTGGAATATTTATAGCATACATATACGTGCATATGTTATATACATACACAGGTAAGGTCTAAAATGGTCTCTTTGCCACCATTCATGGTGACCATGTGTTATGGAGTAGGCACACAGCTAGCCTGGCTATAATCTATGGAAGCAGATTGCTAGGCCTTTCCTATATGGGTGGGTTTGAACTATCAACCTTTAGTAGTCCAGTACAAACTGTTTGAGCCGTCCAGGAATCTTATTTTGCATAATACTATTGATGAAATTTTTTTATAGGATCAACACTGGACAGCGAACCACAAGGCAAGCAGTTCAAATCCACCAGCTGCTCCTCAGAAACCCTATACAGGGTCGCTATGAGTCGGAACTGATTCGATGGCACTTAACAAGGTCATAAATAGTATGAAAGATGCAGGTTAGAAGCTCAGTTGTCATTAGGCCTCACCTGCCATGCCTCAGAGACTAGTGGCTAGGGGTACGTCATATCACAGAAGATCATAAATTAAGGCTCACAAAAGACAGACAACAGTGGTGGGGCACAGCAGGGCCTAGACACAGGCTGAACTGCATAATGCAGGTGCCCACACTGCCGGAAACAAGCTGCTTCTCTCTCTTGTTTCTAAAAGTCCTCAAAGTAGTTCTCATATGGACAACAGTACTGAGAACCACTTCTCTAAATGGGGGGTCAGGGGGAAGTGAAAGAAAAACCCTTTTAGTTACACAATCTAGAATCATATTAAGGGCTCAGTCAGGGGAGTGGTTCTAAGATCAGACAAGTTTTGCCAAAAGTTAACTGTGTGATTGTATACGTATAAAAAGTTACAGATGTGATGTCCTAAACTGCAGACAAGTCTCATGGGGCTTTTTCTTATAATATTCAGTAAGCAAAAACAGCATACCAAACCACAATATTGTAAAAATAAGTGTTTATTTTGTATAGACAGTGGTTCTTTAGACCCTGTAGACATTCAGCATTATCTATTTCATTTTAAAATTAGAAAGTTGTCTACCCCATTCTGATTTTCCTAAAACCTTGTCACTAATCAGCCTTAATTTTGATGATAAATACTGACTTACTCAATAAACAAGTCTTACTCTTTTCTAGTTATTAACTGGCCTTGATATGTTCCATCTGCTTTAATTGTCTTCCCTGAATTGCTGCCATCATTCAACAGCAGTAGTATGTTGCCTCGCTAGCTGTCAAAGTAGATTTCATCCCCAAATGGAAATCTGTAATGAAAGGACACAAAGATGAAATTTTACTTAAGAGGGAGGGGAAACATTTTGGATTGATTGAAAGCAGTCAGGAATAGCAGAAAAGTACAAGCAGCAAGCATGAACTCTACTCCTGCAGGTGGAAACAACTACCACCTAGGAAGTGAATTCCTTAGTGCGGAACAGCTTGAGTTCCCAGCAAGGACTTTCTGCGTAGTGATTTATATGCATTCTTTGTAACCACTGAGCTCCTTCCATATAAACAAATCTATTCCAAACTGCAGACATCCTTTCATTAATTTGTTAGGTGCCTTGCAAATATTAATATAAAATCCTTTTGTGTCTTTTGGAAGAATGGTTACCATTCTGACTAGGACTAAACACTGAAAATGTAATATTGAACTGGAAAATAATATTAACATGTAAAATTGACTTATTACAGGTACCCAAGTAACTCCCTTGGGAGTCCAACAGGGGTATTTTTCACGTTTATAAAAACATAGCAAAAAGCTACTGGCTTTGAGTACATTTGTTCTGAAACAAATGCCTGTATGCAAATTTTAAGACTTTATATTACTGACAGGTAAGTTATCATTTTCCAGTAAGCATTTGAATATATATATAACTTCTAGTGTGAAGACTAGAAACAAAGGATACCTGAAAGAATGTGAAATTTGCTTACTTAAAATCAGAACTGACCTAAAATCAGAACACTTAATGATCACCTGTAGAGACCTTTCTCTGTTTTCCTCATCATCATGATACTCTTCTGTGTGTAGAACAATAGCTAACTGAACATCTACGGCCAAGCCAATATGGTTTGTTTACAGCCTATATAAGACACAGTAGTATCCAATATTCTTAACTGGGGATTTTGATTGGGAAGAAAAGAGCCATTACCAAAGTCTACCAATTTTTAAAACTATGTTATCAAAATTATCTTTGCAATCTTCAGTTGTGTCTTAGGAAAACATAAAAGAAGCAGACCCAGTGATGGCAGCAAGAGTTGAGACTGAAGGTAGGACATGAAAGAGAAGACCACACTATCCATGCATGGACAATGTACAAATAATTGAGACTTCAGCACAACTATGCTGGTAACGCTCAGTATGACTGCATGGAGATGCTGAAATGCATACATGTGATCATAGTGGGCCTTCTTCCTTAAAAATTAGCTTTGAGCACTTAATCACTCTGGAGACAGTATTTGGAGCCATACCTTAATGAATTCTGGCTAACTAAAGTAGTTATTACAGGGCTTTCAGTAGGCAGCAAACTCTTTGGTTCACTGATTTCTATACAAGAGGGTTTCAAAAAGTTTGTGGGAAAATTCCATTTTTCCATGAACTTTTTGAAGGCCCCTTGTGTATGCTTTATAAACAAAACTTTCTAACTCACACTAGAATCCTTAGTCATCCACAATCACATGATGCTGTATGTTCGGCACACACTTAAAACATAAGACAAGACACTTAACCTTAAGACGATTCAAAACTTTGAGATTAAATGGAAGCCTTTACATAAACATGTGTTAATCTTTATGTGTTAATCTGTCAGTAAAAACAATGTGTAAATTGGCACCTTTGTAGTAAAACAAGAATATTAGTATGAAAAGTAAAGGGAGTATACTTTGGAAAGCCCATAGAAGACCTCAGAGTGGTGGCATCCATGGCTTTGTTCCTCTAGCCACACGGGTGGCCCTCAGGATCCTGTCCGCATGCAGTAGCTCCTGCTGGGCTGTGTGTGCTGTCTTCCACAGGGCTGCCTTCGACTTCAGTCCTGTACGGGGCTGTCTCCACTGAACATAAACCTTCCACGCTCCCTGAGGGTACCTGGCCTGAGACAGGCTTGGCTTGGTGGCTGTTTTCTGTCAGAGTGATCTCTCCTGAAATTTCACCAGTCTCTGACTTTGTATCCACAACAGGTGATTTATGCTGTAAAATATAAAATTATATTTTGTTTTATTTAATGGTTTAAGATAATATGAACAAAAAGGTTATAAAGTTTTTTCTATCCAAATCTGTTACAGTAAACTCCTCTTTCAAATCCTGGTTCCAAAGCTGGTCTATAATTTTATGTCATTAATAAAGCCTCCCAGAGCTGGATATTACCTTGAGTGGAAACAGCTTAGGGGAGTGCTCAAAAGGATTGGTGACCAGTACTGCTAACACCTCTTGTCTAGTAAGAGCCCATTCTATATCTATTATTATATTATGTATATACTACATACAGCATATACTACGTGCTAGGTGCTGAACTCCCTTGGGAGCATTTGCCTGCTCATTGAAACTTACACTAGGTTGAGGAGAGAATCAGGCAAAAAACATTAAGAAACTATAGTTGAAAACGTAGCCGTAGCTCTGCACAAAGAGGAGAGAAAAGAGAAGGCGTGCAGGGCAAGGGGCGGGACCGGGATGCAGTCTAACTTAGGGCGGTCTGGAAAGGTGACAGGAGTAAAGGCCTGGAGAAATGGGCCATGTGACTGTCTTCTAGCTAGAGGAAATGGCAGGTAGCAAGGACGTTAGCTCCAGGGACATGAGAAGGCCCTTGTAGCTGAAGAAGATGAGTATAAGAGCAGTGAGCTAGTGGGATTGCTGGGGTAACTGACTTTCCCTAGAATTTTACTGTGAAATTCAGACTTCACAAATGACAATAAAAATTCCCCTCTCAAATGGGAAATTTGAAATGACCAATAATGGTGAAAAATCTTTACCCTATAGCAAAGGGGAAAAGTCTAGTCTAAGCATCCAATAACATAAAAGGTTTTGGATCCCTCCTGAACCCTTCCTTCCTCCAGCTAAGCCATTAGAGGCTCCACTGCATGGTCCCGAAGACTCGGGACCTTCAGTGTGGCATTTCAGTCATGCTCCAATGTCAGGTTCATGTGACTCAAGTCTGTTCTAAACAAATTGCTGCTAAATTATACTCCACACAAAAAATCAAATCTCTTCTACAAGGAGGACTTTTGACCAGGAAGGAGGAGAGAGTATGAATTATACCATTAATTAATGATAGAATTCACAATGGAGGGTAAGAGTCATTTCGAGTAAAAACAATGGAGGGTAAGAGTCATTTCGAGTAAAAACAGTAACTGCAACGCTCTGTAGGGAAGCATTTAGGCCTAGTATTAAAGGACAGCAAAGGACAGCAAATAAACAGTTGCTGACTTACACTGGGTACCACCTTGGGATGCTCTTGTGCCTCTGCGTCTGTGAAATCAAATGCCCGGAGCACTTCAGG